GGGCCAGCTTAGATCACGTTTTGGTCAAGGTTAGGTCAAGGTCAGGTCAAGGTCAGGTCAAATTAGGTCAAATTTCAAAGTTAATATTTTTGCATAAAATGGGTATCGAATCGATGCAGCTCGTCACGGGGAGTTCAATGGTGGTCTTTGTTTTGCCGTACGTGGTCTAGAATCGCTAAAAATTGAGTTCAAAAATTTGACGTCATCATTTTTGAACAGTTTTTTCGCTATAACTTGGCCAAAAAACGAGATATCGATCTGAAATTTGGTATGTATATAGAAGAGCGCTGGGACTATCACATATATTCCGTTTTTTTTTCGAAATTCGGAAAATTTTTGGATTTTTTAAAAGTTTTTCTAAAAAAATCAATTTTTTGATTTGTTTTTGGTCAAAAACCAAAAATTTTGAAAATTCGAGATAGCAGTTTTGTAGCGCCGCTTTTTGTCTACTAGACCATATAAAGAACTTTGAAATTGCTTGATAACTGTAGATTTGGTGAGCGTTTCAAGATTGCATGTTTTTTGCTCATTTTTGCTCGAACATGACCTCAGTTTGACCTCAATAACTCCTGACCTAAGGTGACCTAAGACTTGAAATTTGGTGTGAAGGTGTCAAATTGATGCCCGGGAAGGTACTGAAAATTTGGCGGCGCTGCGCGCCGCCGTTTTCTTGCTATTCAGGAAAAACCACAGGGGGGGGGGCCAAAATGGCCCCCCCCCAACGGGGCGAGGGTTAAATACATGACCTTCTTTCAGTAATGCTGTTTTGCTGTAATAATGAGACTGCAGAGCGGCGACCTGCGATTTGTGGAGAAAACTGACGAATACAAGGGAGGTCTTTGTAAAACGTTACAAGCCTGAGACTAGTAGATCGCTTACAAGTACAGGTTTGCTGCACGTAGACATTACTATGCTAACTCAGATTTGCATTGATTTGACTTAACAAGTACACGGCTCAGCTTTGTTAAATGCAACTATGCGCAGGTCTTTACCTAGTAGCCGCATGATTATAACTAGGAACACAGTCGTTCACACAACAATGACAAAGCAAACTTTGGTAGCTAATCTAACGAACAGGGGCTCCGCCACGTTTTTGGGATTGGGGGGGTCCGACCCAAAACACAAAACCTCACTCGCGGATCCAGGGTGGCATTGAGGGTGAATACCCCCCCCCCCCGCTGCGCCCGAAAATTGAAATCGATGAAAAATTGCCGTTTTCTAGAGCACAAAAAACTTAACAATTTTATTGGAAGAAATTTCCCTTAAACTGCAAAACCAGCCCAGCCAGCAAATTTGGTCTGGGCCGTAGCTGGTTTTACTCTAGCTAGCTCAGGCATTTGCTCCGGCCAAAGTACGGGCAAGGTCTGGGGCTCTACTGGAGCTGACATACGATCCCAGGGCTCGCCCGCACCACAGCCGGACTTAACCCATATCAGGCAGTGCCGTACCCCAACCGTACTTCAGCCACAGTAAGCCAGAACAGCTTCTAAGCAGCCGGACCTGGCCGTAGGGACCCGGAATAGAGCCGTGGCATGGAGCCAGACTTTGGCCAGACTTGGCGGTCCGATACCAACTCGGGAGCGCTACGGCAAAGGCTAGCTAACCGGAATAGAGCCAATGGCCATATCGACCCAAACCCCGGCTCCGACGGCGTTCCGTTTACACCGGCCCAACTATGGCATGTTGGAGTTACCGGGCAAAACGGACTTGAGCCAAACCAAATTACTGGTTGGGAAGGTTCCAATAGCACGAGGAATCGAAAACCGAGGAGCGGAGCCCATTGACACCGACATGGCGGCCTCTCAAATCAAAGTTCTTGGGGAATGGAGGCCGCTGTTGCGCGCTCCAAGGGCGGTATTGTCCATCAGAGAATGCATTGGGCTCTCAGTGACTGGCATGGGCTTGGTAATTCGGGGACCTACATAGGCCTTCAGATATCTATGTAGGCTCTAAAGCCAGTGTAGAGTCCTCTAAGGCCGTACTAAAGGAAAGCGCAGGGCTTTAGCAGTGGTAGGGATTTGAAAGCCCTGCCCTCATATGTAGGTATAGCAGCATGGGATGGGGTCCTTAGAGACTGACATTCAGTCCTGTGATGAGTGTGACCTATACTGACCCGAAAATGGATATCAAAATGCTCCACTTGAAGCAAAGGTCAGGTGATGGGGATCCTGTTGCAGTTGTGACTTGTGGATGTCCCACCTCTACGAACCTGCATTCAGAGCCCTGTGCAGATTATCGCCGATTACCTCTGAACGGTGTGAGGCTGCTTAGACTAGTATGGTGTTCTGAAAGACCGACTTGGACCCCCCCCCCCCTGAAACTATAGGACGACCTCACATGGAAAAAGGATTCTCAGATCGATTTGAAACTCTCTTAGGGCAGGTATTGTGTCTAGGAGGTGTCTGGCAAGCTTGACCCCCCCCCCCCCACAAATTGTGGCCAAATTCTAGCATACTTTCCTAATCCTAGCAATCTTAAACGCATTCATAGTAAAAACAAAAAGATTGGAATGATGACACTCCCATGTAGGCCGGCGAGTGTTGAGTACTTCGTCTGTCACGAAATTATACCTAAGGGTTCCCTACATTTCTAGATCTTCAATTCCTTAGCTCTACGACTGTCAACACATTCAAAGTGCATACTGTGAATGAATGATATAGTCATTTTTTACGCGAAAACAAGCTTATTGGTATCCGGAATATTGGGGGGTACTGTACCCCCCAGGTAAATTATTGGGGGGGTCCGGACCCCCGCGACCCCCCCTGTGGCGGAGCCCCTGCTAACGAACTACATGTGTGTGGGTTGTAAAAACAACTACCATGACAAACAATAGGGTCGTTCGATGACATGGCAAAGGGTGCGGGGATTTGCGCTAAATAATTTTCCTTGTAAAAGTAACAAACGTTTGTTGAAATGAGTTAACAGTGTGGAAGAATGCTGTTGATGCTTACATAGTTGGGCAATTGCTTGGTCTAGATGATTCCTAGGCTGGCTTCATTTTTAGCTTGCCGGTTTTCCTTGCGAGTACTCCCTGCTCACCTGACAAATTGTGTGCATTGCCCAATAATTAGCGCTGACGTCTAAATCCGTCATCAAGTGACATCTTAGCAGAGTTTCTGACACCGCACCGGTTACTTCCTCATCTGTCACACCCGTCAATCATCCGTCACTGCGGCTGTCATCGTTTGATCGCCATCCGTCATCGTCTCACTGCACGCACTAACGCACATCATAGGGAAGCTGGAAACTTGTGGTTTTAACTGTCAACGCATCGGTGCGATCCGCAAAAGTTTTCGTTGTCGATGCCTCGACTAGAAACCAAGCGTAGCTCCTGCTGCCTTTTATTCTCCTTTGATTCATCACTCATCCCATTGCGTCTGTTGTTTTGCTTCGCCTATTTCCTTCTTGCATCGCTCTCCTATGCATCCTTGCAATCCTCGCTTTTCCTCACATCCTCCTCTTTCCTGAATTCTCCCTGGCTCTCTTCGCCTCTGGCCTCTCCCTGACATCCTTCATCTTTTTCCCTCGCTCCCGCACCGATTCGCTCTGTCGCCTCAGGCGTCACCCGTGGGAACTAGACCGGTGACCTCCGCCTTGAAAATCACCAGCGACCGTGCGGGGTCACCGCCCCCTCCCCATCCCCGCCCATCCCACCTCCCCCGAGGACTAAAGTGGCCCGTGACGCGAAGGACGAGCCTTGGGCAAGCGGATGCTCTGAGGCTAGCAGTAGTGTCCCTCTAGGGTGCCTACTCGGAGGGGAGGGTAGAATGGCGACCGGGGAGGGTGGCTGGCAGACCGTGACGGCCTTCTTGTCGCGATAGAACGCAGAGCGACCAGCTGCTGCGTGTCTGATGTGCAGAGACGGCCTAATTGTCCGACCACACCCGCGTCCTGTCCGGCGCGACCGTCAGCTGGCCTGCGGGAAACAGCCTGAGGGTACAGGAAGATGGAGGTTTGGGACAAGAGACGGGACGGCAAGGGCATGGAACGGGATGGGACAGAACAGGCATTGAACGGGATGGGATAAATAGTCATGGGACAGGAGAGAGGATGGGACGTGAGAGAGAATCAGACATTGAACATCGGAGAGGACATTGAATGAAACATGGTGGGATAGGACGTCACGAGAAACGGAATGGGACAGATTGAACACAATGGAATGAATTGGATGGATTGAATTGAATGAAATTGACGTTATTGGGATGGGACGTGAGAAATGAAATTAAGATGATACTGGACGGGACGATACGCCTAAAACAATAACGGGACCGCATTGGACTGCCGACACCTGCCGTTGTGGGCGAGCACGGTCGTCAGTTCGGGGCGGCTCGCGTGGGTGTCGGCTCTTGTATCTCACGGCGCCCATTAGCCATACCCCCGCTAAGCCACCTGCCAGGGACGGGTACAGATAATTAGGGACTCGTGAACCGGCGCGGCGCCGCGAAAAACGGGGCCAGCCGGCGGGAGGAGGGCCGGTCCTTTGTTGGGCCCAGCGGATCGGCGGCCGTTTGACCGCGCTGGAGGAAAAACAGCGATTTCTGGCGAGACCATGCCGCGGGTGAGGACGGGGCCTGTCGTCTGCGGAGACGGGCCAGGAGGCTGACAGGGCGACTTCGGCTAGCCACAGGGCGATTAGGAGAGGATAAACGGTCATAACGTGCGCCATACTGCCTGCCTGGCGGATGGCCGGCTGTGGCGGCGGCTGGGACTTGTTGGAGTTGACATGAGCTCGACAAGGTCATCCACGTCGTATGTCACCACGACCAAAGGTCAGAGTATGGTGGCTTTGAGAGGGCGGGGCTGGTTGGGTGCGGTACGCCCGCGGAAATCTGCAGTAGAGCCTGCGGTGCGGTGTTGCTGTTCTGCAGAATTGCGCCACGGAACCTCGCAACCCGCACTCGTTCCCTCCGGTGACCTCGTTGACGGTCAAGCTTCAACACCCACCCTTGAGCAGACCCTAGCTCGCAAACCTGCAGCCGCGCCTGGCTCCGCCGCACCCCAGTGATTGCCGCGCGGCCGGCGAGATAACACGTGCACGGGAACCAGCCAGAAACCGGTACGGCACAGCTTGATTCGAGGATGAGCCAAGTGGGCCACCGCACCGAACGGAGCGTGCTGATTTGAGCGGTGATAGACTTTTTGACGCGTCACATCGCCTCGATCGGTTCACAGAGGCGCGTGCCGCTGACGTTGGGCTGAACAAACGACAGAGGTGCTGTAGGTAATCTGGGGTAGGAACTGGATAGGCTGCCGTTTTTGTCGTCTTAGCAGGAGGTGATTAGCCCCCGGCTGCCGTTGCCAAACAGAACCGTAGCCGCGCGCCAACGCGGAAGTTGTGACTTGTGCGCCGCGTGTCGTCGCCTCAGCGCCGGTTGTCGTCGCGTTCGCGGGCAGTGGCTTTGTGGGCGATCGCTTTTCTCTCTGCGTCACGATCGTGCCGTGACGTGACACAACGTGACGTGACGCTCGTGAGACTCGTGACGTGGCGGTGGAGAACTCTGGGTCAGATTTTGCTGGTTTGCCGGCTGGTGAACCGCCAACTCGGCCAAATTTGGTGCAGAGTGGGCTGGTAGCGGCCCACATCAGGCCAACGGTCTGCCGCGTTTGAGCCAGTCAGTGCTGAGTGCTAACGAAAACCGACCGAAACGTTCGTCCACCGGCCCCGCCGCATCGGACTTGGTGTACGGAACACAATAGCATCTGCCACTGCTGCACCGCTCACCGCACCATGCGTAGCCGCCACATCGCTCTTGTCCGCACTCGCCTCTAGCACACCGCTCGTCCGCTACCGCAGCCGCCAGCCCGCCGCCGCCGCCTCGCGGACAGCCGTCCGCCTGCCCTCCCAGCCGGTCGGGCGCCGGGCGGTGCGGTGCGCCGGCCAACCGGGCCGGAGTAGCGCGTGAGCCGCCGTCGGGTGAGGTCGTGTGAGAGCGCGCCGCGACTCGAGGCGGCCACGCCGCCGGTCGAAGCGGACCATCGCCTGGCGAGGCGCCGCTGTGATGCTGACCTCAGTGAACCTGACCGAGTCGTCATCGAGACGCGATCGCGCGACGCCTCCGACGCACACTAAGCGTCTCTCGATGCCGGAGGAGCTGTGGAGGCGCTGGACGAGGCCCATAGCGAGGCTGTCTGTGGTTTGGGAGTGCGTGAGTGCGGACAACCCTGTGTACGCAGATGATGAGTTTTACCCGCTGGTGATTCCTCGGCAGACGTCGGGCAGCTGCGGGTGAGTGTTAGAGAGGGCACGTGCGGAGGGTTGGGTCTACGTGCACACTGCAGATGTTTCGTCTTGTCACGTGCAGAGCGGGTCCCACGTGTCAAGTATTTTTTGGAGTTTCATCGTGGACAGTGGCGCCCAGGTTTGCCGTTATGATGACGGTTTAAGTTATGTTTTGAAATATCGGGGGCTATAGTAACATTTAGCTTAATGTGAGCGTATATCACTTTTCATCATCTATACTGTTCATGGTTACCTATCAGGAGGTGTTTTACACAATTTCAACGGCATTTATCTATGTGTAAATGATGAACGTTCGATTTAAACCGCTCGCCTCACGCCGTAAGCTGGCATCACTTCTTGGTCTATAGCGTGCTGGTGCGTGAACCCTTGACCGTTAAAGGTAGTTGCCCCCACGTAACGTGTGCTATCGGTAGTTGGCCGCAGTTTGTTTCTCGGAATGTCCAGTAGATAAGGCTTCTCTCGACTCGACTCGGTTCAACCCCACCGCGAGGCAGCTCCAGACTGGCTTTAGGCTGGCGGAGCAAAAAAAAAAAAAGGCATCGTTAAACGATGGGCTCAACTTTTCAGGCTTATCGGCTCTTCGGAAAGCGCTTGGATTGGAACCCAGCTATCATGGAGGTTTGCTTTGCACTTACCGGGTGTTCTCTTTTTGACTTGGTCCGGTCGCACTTCTCTTTAGTTTGCTGACTTGAGCCGCCAGGATGTTCACAAGCGGTTAAGTCGAGGCGTTGATAAACACACTAAACAAGCGTCCGTTGTCTGTGCACTCGTCTTGAACCGTGGGAGCCCAGCAGTCTGGAGATTTACAAGGTGATTGCATTGTCGAGGCAAGACAATTCATGAGCTTTTCATTCATTATGCTCCAGCAATTCGTTATCCGCCATCAGCCGGTGGGCCATTTTCGATTCGTGAGTCCGTCACACCCCGTGCACATGGACCAAAGGGGCATCAGTGTGCACTGCAGTGCACACTGGGAACAGACTGGTCGAGTGCAATTGGCTGCGGTCGGCTGCACGCCTACAATCAACACATGATTTGAGTTCACTCGTTTTGACAAGGCTTGACTGGATTTGACCACTAGGTTTCTAAGTTGGATTAGCCGTGATTTGTTTCAAGTTATGACTCAATTTATGACTTTACTCGACTGTTTTTTTTTACTAATATTTTAATTCACTTACTTTGCGTAACGTTGACTTTGATGCGAACATCTATGTAAGTTATTGTAATGGATGAGGCAGGAGCATATTGTTTGCTTGCCTTTTTTGACATTTATTTAACAAATTTAGTTAGTCATCAATTTTGAACTAATTCAGGTCATTCCGCCGATTCGGCCAGTAGTGCACTGACCTTGCAATGACCTTGCCAGCTAGCTAACCGTTCTATCATCTCATTTGGTCAGCTCAGTCTGCTGGTCCGGTCATTGGGCGGATTTCGGTAGCGGCTGATCCTCTCCGTTCTCTGACCTGGGCGCCAGCTCATCCACCCGGTTTGGTGGACTCGTCACCGGCAAATCCGGTCAGCCAAGCATTGTTCGGCACCCCGAGACCGCAAAACTTCGTTCCACTTGTCCCATGACCTGTTCTTCTTGCCCCAGTGGTGACCTCATGTCACCGGGGTCGCTGAATTCCAACCTGTCTGCACAGTTCTGGTCGGTTACCTAGCATTCCATATTTCACACCGCTTCCCATGGGCACGAAGTTTGCGATTCGCCGGCCAGTAACGTGAAGGTTGGCAAAGGTGAGCGCAACTCTTCTGAAGTGCAATTCAAACGGTCCAACCAGGATCGGGAAGTTCACAACGGCGCTGAACGGTCGGGGAGAGTTCGCATGGCTGTTTGACCTTCCAAAAGTCCATAATTCACTGCCCACACGCTTACCGCTCGGCTACTTGTGGCTTGTAACACCCACACGCCGCTAACAAACGGCACGCTCTTCCCGGTCCCTGACCCAAAACTCGCAGCATTCAATCATCAGCCTACAACCAACCATTATTTGTCGCCACCTTTACACCGAATCATCTATACACCTGTCATTAATGGTTAGTGTGGGCTTCGACCTCAAACAGCCACCAATTCAAAACATTCAAACTGATTTGAAAAAAAACAGCGCCACCGCGCACAGCGCTATGCGGATAGCGCGTCCCAGTGCGGTACGAGGAGGCGGCCAGCCTCGCTGAAATGTGGGCTGGAGAGACCTCGCGTGAGGAGTGGTGGGCTGCGGTGGCCGGTTTCGGTCAATGTCAGACTCCCACGTCTCGCATGGCGCTTGGAGTGCAGTCTCGAACCGTATCTGGTGGCCGCATAGTCGCTCGAGTTCAGAGTCAGAGCGTTGTCTGACCCGTCTGTTCTGGTCCCGTCCAGGCACTGTTTGGTGGTCCATATCCCAGTTGGCGAGTTCGCCGGACGGTGAGCGGTGCCTTTGTCTCCGATCGGGAGCCGAAGGGACGGAGGGCACCGCAGGGGTCCGCCAGCGTCCGATGTTTTGTCGAGGTGCGCAGGTGGGGAGCCAACAGCGCCCTCCAAACCCTCACCGGTGGATTATCCACCTGAGTGGAAACAGCGTGGGAAATGGCGGAGCGAACTGAAAGTGGAGAGTCGATTCATAAAACGTATCCCCGCCGATTGTGGATATTGCGTATGCAATACGGTGAGAAAGTTGAAACTAATGCAAACACTGCTTGAAATGTTGATAAGAGATGCTAGCAAAAATGTTGCTGTCGAGGTCTTCGTTGAAGTCGCCTTTGTGAGATCATTTTTATCTACAGAGGCATCTCCCTAAACGATTTCCATTTGGCAAATGTGACATCCAGGCTCCAACGCACACAGTACACACGCGCAGACACAGATCGGACCTCTGCCAAAAAACACAGCTGCGTCGCTTTGGTCGCAGCAGCGCCGCACGCGGCCGGCTCAACTTACGCGTGACAATCGTGGCGCACACATGTCGGCGCGGCGCGGTGCGTCACCGGTCGTTTGGAAGATAGTCACCTGTGTCTCAGCGGGCGCAAAAGGTGATCATTAGTGTCTAGCCCTGCGTGTTCTTGAGCGTGAGGGGAAATATGATATCCAGGAGAGCGTTGCGCAGAATTGGTTACACCATGGACTGACATGGCAATGAGGCAATGCTATTGCATTATTCTAAAATTGTGTACCCCAGTTTTGAGACGATGAGGATCGATATCTAGTGATGATATTTACAGATTTGCTGTCGGCTGATCTATTACCAAATTGGCACCATGATGGGTTCTAGTCATCATTGGATGTTTTCTGAACATTTCGCCTGAAGCTGAACATACATGTGAGCTATTTCTATCAATTCTCGCTCTTTTTGTCCGGGCTAGTGTGAGAGCTGTAGATTTATGAAACTTCTCAGTGCTCGCGCGTCCCTGAATTAAACTCAACCTGTGCCAATTCTAGATCACCCTGTCCTGCTGAATTTCATGTACTTTCAACGGCTTTCAGCCAATTTTTGATATCTCCCGTGTGAAACTTGCTTTGATCTAACGTCGATCCCTGACTCTGCTCTCGCCAGCTGCCCTTTGTATACACAGGTCAATCTGTCTTCTCGCTTCTCGCCTGTCTTCTCACTTCTCGCCTGTCATGTAGCGCACAAAATCCGTCACGGAGCGCTCGGCTGGCGGAGAATCCCGCTCCGATGGCCGCAGGGGTGTCTGAATTGGCCGACCGTGCGCGGCCGCTGACCCGGGCTTAGGTATTCGCCTCCTCGTTAGGATTTCCGGTCATGACCTGTAGCGGCGGTGGACCGAGAGAGGGAGAGGTGGCAGAAGGTCAAACTCAGAGGAGGTCTCTGGGTCTTTGACGTTCGCCGCCGCCACCGCCCGCCGCCCGCCGCCAGCCGCCAGCCGCCAGCCGCCAGCCGGCAGCCGGCCGCTCCGCTATGACCGTTGTGAACGCAGTGAACCGCCGGTGTCAGCTGACCGTTGGAGCTGACGGTTTGAAGTGATTGTCATTCCCGCCGCCCGCTGGACCGAGAGAGAAACGGGTTTGGAGTGGACGGAAAACTTGTCACGATGGTGGAGATTGGTCCAGATTAATTACGTAGAGTTGTCACCCAGAGGTGTTACGGGAGTTCATATGAAACGATTTCTAGAGGTAGTGCGGTTTCCGCGAACATTGTGCCGGTTTGAATGTATGGGCTTGTGCTGGAATTCCGACAAGAGTAACACTTCTCTACTGGCGCTCCTATACATTGCAAGTTAACATTTTTCAACATCATTTCATCAGCGCACTCGACATCAGTCAAACATATGATGTCAACGAGTCGTTCGCTGCGGGCTCACCCCACTCCCCACCTCGCATGGCTGTTACCAATGAATCATGGGCAACGGCAACCATTTGTGGCTACGCCCTCCCAAACTGCGGCCGGGCAGTCATCGCACACTTTGCCGACTACGGCGACTCACGCTCCCAGCTTCAGTCTCAGGTCACGAACGGTTTCCACATGAGGACCGAGTCTCCACTCTATGACGTCATAAGACAGGTGGGCGCTGCGTGACGTCACGGTAACTACCTGTGACGTTATCGGTGCCATCTCCAGTGGGCGGTGCGCCGAGGAATTTAACGGAGCTCTATTGAAAGCTCTATTAGGCATCGTGGGCTTGAGTTTGTCGGACAGAGCAACCCGGCGGTGATAGGCATTAAAATGTCGTGCTTCCGTATCCATTGTTTTATGGCCAATTTATTGGCTGACCAATTTGAACTAAATTGTTAGCAGTTTGTTATGCCGGCCAGTATAGTTTATACAGGTTTAAAACTATTCCAGTCTTGTCGATCCAGTTTCACTGAAAAGATCGCGGGTCAGGGCGACAGTCGACCTCACCCAACCGGTAACATTTTATTGCCACAAGTTTTCCCCTCATGCCGCATGCTTTCGAGCTTTCTCTGCGTCGCAGCCACAAACAGTGGGCGACGGGCGTGGTGCGTCGACTGTCAGTGGTATCCTCTCTCCGGTCACCGCACGCGCATT